TCCAAATGTCTGCAAACTTGTAACTTGCCATGAACTTTGTGTGACAGAGAAAGAAATGCAACCGGTTACCTCCAGTCTTACCATGGCAACGGACGCGACAAGAAAAGCGATCCTGTACCTGTGTATCTGTCTCCCTAATGGTCTGTGTGTTGGTGTAACAAGATCTGTAAAAACTCCCCTCAATGACATTTTAGATCCCCCACTGTAACTGACCTGGGCTGGGGAGTCACAAGTAGGATTTAGGTGAGTACTCAGGCTTCTCTCAGGTTCCTGCTCCCCTTTTCCTAATGAATTCAACCACAAGTAAGCTCGAGATGAGAGTCTTGTTTGCCACATGGTCTTGACATAATATACTCTTGCACATGCTGTGTTTTGTTTATGCAAAACCGTTACTTTTTTTTTTTTTTTTTTTTTGCCAAAAGCTCAAAGGTAAAGCATGTATAGACTTGTATTTATTAACCAGGTCAAATGAGATTCTTTAATGTAGTTCTGTTTTTGTTTATGATAGAAATCCCCCATTAATAATGCTGAGTGATAACTGTTTATGTGTCCTGGATAATAGCACTTTGCAGGCTCACTGCTGGGCTGCGCAACTCGGACTACTCCTAACTCTTCTGTTCCCTCTGCTGGGAAAGGCAGATATTGCACACCTCTCAAAGACCACGAAACACAGAAAGGAGCTCATTCCTGTTTTTAAATAATTTTCTTCTTCCATCAGTAAATTTGAGCATCCAAAATCACTCTTATTGTACAGTGGGAGACTGCTGTTTTCTCTGCATAGGCACATTCTAGGTGAGGGGCTCGCAGACACCGTTCTGCATGAAATATCAATGTGAATGACTCATATCCAAGTTTGGTGTCAGTCATATTTGCAAATGCCAAACCTGTTATCACCAAATCTTTTCAATGAGTTGCTTTGTCAATCTGGCAAAAAAAATAAATAAAAAATACCTGGAGATATTTTTTCTCTACAACCTCTTGTTTTTTTCAAGGAGCCTTGTTTTCCACAGAGAGAACTAACCTTTTCTGAATGACTTAAACATGGAGATTTTAATTTTTCTGCTTTGGTATTTCAGTTGAGATTTAGTTTTGAACCTAGTAAAAATGTGTAGTTTTATTTTTAATCTATCCAGCTGATAACAACCAGCAACCACTTCTAAAAAAACTATGGAGCATTTTCACATCATTTGCATAATTGACATAAAAATGCTTACGTAGCTTTTAGCTCAGAGTTTTCCTACAGTGTGACAAAACATCATCTTGGCAGATCCAGTTCACTCCAGAAGACACCCAGTTTGCCTCCTGGTTTACCTGTATCAACAATTATTATAGAAACAGCCTACTTTGCTGTATGTGTTTCTGTTTTACTTTTTTCTTTTTTTTTTATTGAATAGCACAACAGGCAAGTTCATTATGCGTGTGACTCATCCCACTAGCCCACACCCCCTCCCCATCTGCTGCTGCGCGCTGGAAAGGAGAGGGAACCGCCATTGATCACTTCTTCCCTCACACATGCACGCACACACCCTACCTTCCACGTCACTATCGATCGACATGTTTAATGTTTTTTTTGTGGAGAAAAGGTGGCATTTCCTTTAGTCGCATTTTACATCTATTTCCTAACGTTTTATCAAAATCTAACAACTACCAGAGGGGACATGTGAAGAAGAAGAAGAAAAAAACTTAAATGTGATCATTTCTTTTCTATCTCAGACTGATCAGGTAGTGATTTTCTTTCATTAAATAAATAATTTCTTAAATCTGATTTAAGTTGCGTTACCCGAAGAGGAGATCTAACAAACTATCTAGCATCAAATATGCTGCATAATGGTTGAAAGTTATTGCACATTTTACTGCTCTCTCTCCTAGAGACAAGATTAATAAAGTAATATTTGTAACACTTATACTTTTACTGTGATAGATTTTGGGATTATGTGAAACATTTGTCTAAAGTAGTTGAGTTCTGTTGGGGCAAAATGCTAAAACTTCAGAATAATGTAGAAAATAAAATAATTACATTTCCAATACTTTGTCTTCTTGTAAAAGGTACTGTAAAACATTTAGCAGTACAGATTCAAATCCTTACCATGAAAGTAAAAACCTTAGTTTTTACATTTCTGTTTTTTTTTTATCTTACTTAAAAGCTCATTGGGACCTTATATTTATTTTAATTATCCACACACATTATTTTTTTCAATATGCCCAAGATAAATAGTTTATTTCAAGGCAGATGACAATAAGTTGTTTTGATTTACTTTTTTACATGAAATGCCAAGCAGCTCAAACTATACAGACCATAAAATGGTAAGACACAACCCACTAGGATCTGTGACACTTTTGTAATCTTTACAGTTTGGTCATTTGCTCATATATGGGACAGATTTTGTCTGACCTGTTTGTATTTTCATTGGTTAGTCTGGCCAATTAAAGGCTGGTAGAAAAGTGAGAGATTCCTTCGGGATCAACTTGTGAGTAGTTTGGTCATCTAGAAAGATGAAAGGGTTAGATGTAAGATAATGTGCATTGGCATAACAGAATTATTATTATTATTTTTTAGTTTTGGTTTGGTTATATTAAATAATAGCCCCTAACTTCAGTACCACACAAAGAGCAGTAGGCCACCCAATAAACCCGCAGTCACCACCGAACGAGGACAGGTACCAGGGTGGAAGCAGTAGTGGAGAAGACTATATCAAAGCTGACTCCTGATTTGCTCTTATATATCTTCACATTTTATTGGAGTGACATATCAGTCATGAGGAGGAAAAAAAGATATTTCCATGATTGTCAAGTGCAGTCCCAACTTTTTTGGAATGTGTTACAGGCATCAAATTCCAAACGAGTGAATATTTGCAGCAAAAAAAAATAAAAGAAAATTACATATCTTATCTTTGTAGTAAATTCAGTTGAATGTACATCAAGAAGGATTTGCAAATTATAATTTTCTGCTTTCATTTATGTTTTACACAATGTTTTTACTGGAAGTGGGACTATAATACACGAACCCCACAGGGCTTTCAATTATTCCATCAAGAGCTTTCGTAGACATTGTTTTCTGTCTGTTTGGTGATTGCTACTCATAGTTTCTTATGTGTTCCAATTTGACATGTTATGGTGATAAAACTGGGTAAAAACTATTTTTACAAACCATCCTGAAAGACACAGATGAGAAGGGAGCCTAGCAAAAGTATGCTAATCCCTTGATTTTTTATTTTTTTCATGTTTAAACACATTACAACTAACAAACTTTGTTAAAACATGTCTTTTATCAGGATTATATCATAGCCTGACACCAAATGCCATACAGGTATATTACAATTTTCAAATCATGCCACAAATTTTTATTTGGACTGCAGGTCTGGAGTTTAACTAGGTCATGATGTCACATCAACATATTTAAGCAGTTTCATTGTTTTTCTGACTGAATTTTTAGGGTAGCTGTTCTTTTAAATAATGAACCTCTACTCTAGTGTTGGCAGCTTCTAACATATCATCTTTCAGGATTAGTCTGCATTTACTTCCATCCAATTTACATGAACTTTGTTGTCCAGCCAGCTGTTGGCTGTAACATTTGGACGCTACAACATGCCAGCGGAAATGTGATAATGACTTTGCCAACAAGGAGGCAATCCTTCTCCAGGGCCTTAGCTGCCAGCCTGCCTTGCCATGTATTGATTGGAATGAACCCATAGTTTCCTCACTGCTTTCTGATGATTTCTGCAAATCAGGATGATTTCTGCACCATTCATCTTGAGATTTAGCATTTGCGGCATCCAGATCAAGTATGGACATAAACAGCAGTGAAATGTCCCACAATATTGCTCACAAGAAAAATGTGGTATTAAGTCCTATTCAGTATTACAGCCTATTACATGCAAAGTGTGAAGTCATAGCTTTTGTTCCATCAGAGAATGATTTTGATTGGATAAGTGGATTATACGATGAGAATCTTTGAAAATTTACTTGCAAATTCAAGTCAGATATGTTTTTGAAATGCACATCTCTACTTCTGGGTAATTTACATTTGTTATAACTAGATGATAAAGTGTCTTAACACCATTTACACATAGTATAATACACAAACAGTAAATAGGATGACAAGGCCAGTGTTTGTTTAATGTGTCCAAAGACAATGATTTAATTGTTTACTATTATTTTGATTGAGTCTTATGAATGTGTCCAGTTCTAGCTGACTCCAGGGAGCAAGAATCTTCAAATCCATGGTCGGTGTCCTACAACTTTTAGATGTGTTTCTGCTTCTACACACTTGAGTCAAATAATGAGGTAATCAGCATAATTCAGACATTTGATTCAAGTGTTTTAGACTGGGGTCGCACCTAAAAGTTGCGAGACATCGGCCCATGACGCCTGGATTTGAAGACCCTGCCATAGGGCACTTTTTTTAACATTTTGAACCAAAGTAATTTTGTGGGTCATTAGGTTTCTTATGGAGACTAATCGCTAACTCAGCCTGCAAATCAGTTGGAAAACCATGCCGTCATCTCTGACATTTCCCAGAACTTGCTAGAGATTATAACCAATTTCAAGAATGATTAAACAAACACTGGCCCTGTCATGTTTGTTACCACAGTCATTTTTATACCTGTCAAAAGTTTTACAAAATGTAAAGGGTAAGACTAAATATATAAACAAAAAATAGCTCATTAAACCATGATGTTAAAATCTCTTACTTTGGGTGGATTTAATTTCAATTTGGATTTTTATTTCAATTTGAATTATGTTTTCAAATTTACATGTTTCTATTTGCACTCTAAAATATATTTTGGTAGTTTAATTTGTGAATGTCTGTTCCAACTCAGATATGTCCTTATATAGAAATTATGTTGCTTGAGATGAGACAGAATAAAATGTCTTGACAGTGAACCACTGACAAAGAAACACTTAAGTGATAAACTACCATCGTGATGACGATGATGAATTGTGTATAAGGAGCCCGGTTGTGAGAAGAATGTGTTGTTTTCTCTCTTTCTCGCATGTAGGTGGTCCTGGACATGACATTTGGAGGTGGTGGTCATACCAAAGCAATACTGAACACGGTTCCTGAAGTCACTGTCCTGGCCTTAGACCGGGATCCCACAGCTATTTCTCTGGCCCAGCAGCTAGCCAAAGAGAACTCGTAAGTGATTTGCTTGACTATACCTGGACTCAAGTTGAAACTTAAAATCACACACCGTCCAGACAATGTTTATGTGTCACAAGTCTAAAATTTACCACTAGTTTTTACTGTCACAGTTGAAAGCTTGACAGTTTTCAGAAGCGTTAGGTTTTATGGTAATTCTTTTTTCCTTAAAACATACTGTTGGCTTGATAAACAGCAGCATTGCAGCTTTCTGTCCATTTCTCACTTCTTCGCTGAGACCAATCCAATACAGCTTGCCAAGATACAGCCCCTGAGTTGCAGCATCCAATCAAATCCATCGCTCCTTCTTAACTTAAAGCTTTTCTCCCCCCACGCAAAGCTGGTGGGCCCGGCATGTCATTTGTCAGAGGAGGGCCCACGCTTGTTGTGTGAGGGAGATGCTGCCTCCCACGGAGGATCTATAAGTGGGAGGGGGGTGCGATGGGTGTTGAGAAGTGAAGGGAGAGGAAGAAAAAAGACAGAAAACATAAGCGTGAGCGAGGAGGGAGACACGAGGACACAGTGGCAGGGTGAGAGGGAGTGTGTGTGTGCATGAGCGAGGCGCGGGTGGATGAAAATGAGATGTTCCTAAGACCATGGCGTGGGAAGGAATCCTTTTACGTAGATTCTGGGGAAACCTCTCTCAAGGGAATCTGCTGGAGAAATGTGCCTATGAGCAGGGGAATGACAATTAAGAGAGAGAGAAAGAGAGAGAGAATGAGAACTCTGTATTCAGTCAGCAGCAATATATCCCCACTGTAAACTCCTCCACGCCTACTCGTGATGCAAGTTGAGAAAGGCTAGAGAAATCTAGCAATTAACCAATATTATTGGGAGCCTGAGTAAAAGACCCTATCTGCCTACGCCATCCATCCACACAATAATGTTAGAGGATTTTCTCCCTCCTCTGTACTTCTGCATATTGCAGAAAGTAAACCCTTGAAGCAAACTGTTGAATGCTGGTCCTGGCTGAATCCAGTCATACCACACAAGGAAGGTAATTTCAAGTCCAACCACCTAAAAAGTACAAGGTTGTGAAGGCACTTCTGCCTCCTAAGTAATATTCAGCCATGTATTTAATGGGATTTGCCTCCTGCGTGTTAAGCCTTGCTGTACTCTGCATCATTCTTCTGGTTGCTATGACTTCACTGCGCTTGAAGCTCTGCAGTTGTTGCGCCCACAATACATGTCTGAAACGGCACTAGTCATTATTGAATTGACAAACATTGAATTTGCAATTATACGTATTGCCACACACTGATTAATTATTTACTGTGTCCATCAGTCATCATCGGAACTGAATTCTTTAATGCATCAAAAGTAAATTGTAATAGTTTACCAATATTTCAATTGTTTCTTCTTAGTATGTCTTACTTAAGGTGCTTAAAAAGATGCACTATTCTTGTTAAACGTTTTGTGTGAAACAGAAAAAAAAATGTTCTTATGGGTTTTATAAATATTTGACTCACTGAATGATTTATATCTGCAGTTTAAAAAGTTTACCACTCTTTCAGTGAAATATTGAAAAATTCCTGCCTTTTACTCTTCATTCTCTCCCAATTTTAACTTCAAAGATTGTTCACTTTGCCTTGCATATAGAACTTTGTGATTTTGCTTCACTGTGAACTGCATATCCTCATCAGAAGTTTGATATGTAATAAAACTTTTGAAAATAATGTGCTAATAGTTCTCTATCAGATATGCATCTAGTGTTTTATGCACTATCCAGAAAATTAGTTTTATTATTTTAGTGGCTTGTAATCTTTTTCTTGCTGGAGAATGGTTATTCTGGACACAAAAATAAATACAAACCATAAAAACGACTTTCCTAATCATCAAAAAACATAAAGAAGCCATAGAGAAATACTTTAACAATAAAAACCAGGATTTTCAAAGTCGATGTTTGGAGAAAAACAATATGTGTGACTATTGAATCAACATAGGGTCTCTCTTTTTTTTATACAATGTTTTTTGAGATGTAGTGTTTTAATAAACCATGGCTCCCATAAAGATTATGCCACAAAGGAAAATCATATTCTATGGTCAAACTGCACACAAAGTGCTTGAGGCAAATTTTTGTTATTTTCTTCAATCATTTGCTCAGTTCTAGTTTGAGATTTTGAGGAAAGCTCCTTTTAAAATGCAAGCTAAAATGTGTGTATCTATCCCTGTGTCTGTATTCATCTGAATATTAAATAGTCACGTTTCTTTAGAGATGAAAATACTTTCATAATAAAAATATAATACAGTAATCAGTTACAAAACAAGTAATGATAATCATCAAGAATAATCATAATCAAATATATTAATCAATGTTTCAGTTTTCCTTTTTTGTATATTCAACTCTAAACAGGTGGTTTTAAGTTCAAATAACAAACTTTTTGGCTGTGTTGAAGTTTTCTGGAAGTTTGCTCCAGCTTAGTGAAGCATAAAAACTGAATGCTGCTTATCCATGTTTGGTTCTGAGTCTGGGGATGCAGAGTAGACCAGAACCAAAAGAACTTCAATTCTGTTTCTGTTCAGCTGGAGAAAGGTACGGTTGATTTTGCTCTAAGCAACTGTTCAGTGCCTGGGTGGGTTTGCAGGCACTTGGTGACAAAGCATTGCAAAGGTGTGTACGATCTGGTTAGTTATATTAACTAATATTTTTACTTGTTGTAATCTGAGCTAGCGGGAGCATGTAGCTATGAAATAGTATTGGCTGCAGGCTTGAGCTTTAGGATGCACCACCGATGTTTGCTCTGAAGAGAACTTACCAATTGGCACAAAGACGACCCTATTTACATAAGATTTAAACCAGTGAAGTACTCTAAATTCACTTCTCTAATATGTTGTGGTCAACAGTGTCAAATGCTGCGTTGAGGTCCAACAGAACCATCACTGTGGTTCTTCCATATTCAACATCTGGTGATGTACTAGCAAATATAATTAGAGACTGCTGACCTGGAAAGACTTAGAAATCGGTTTGTTATCCAAGGACTTTAGCACATCCACATTTATAATGAATCTGTCGTCAGTGTAAGGTGATTCATTTTCAGCCCATAACGAAATCTATATATTGTCCTTGTGCGAAACACAGTGACTCATGGAAAGAAATCCATCTGTTAGATTATCCAGTCGTCCCCCCACACCTAAACATTTTCCTTTTAATCATTGTGTTGATCACTACCCAATTCAGAACTGGTCAGAGAAGTCACTTGTATGTCTATCTCCAGTGACAAACAGTAAATGTAATGTAAAAGAGGATTCATTTGATAACAGAAGACTAAGATACATTTAAATGAAATTCCACATATTTACTTTTAAGAAAAAGTACGTAAATGCCACAGTCTGCGGTGTTGCTGGTGTTACCCATTGACATGGTGAATCATAGTATCAAAGCTTCATTGATAATGGCTTTTTTCATCCTTTAATGACGCACAAGCTTGACTCGGAATGAACACACTCAAATTTAACTAAAGTAATTAGCTCAAAAGAAAAACTCACATAGCAAGTATAAGCACTTTAGAAAGTGATTGCATTCATTCTTGGTAACACACCCCCTGATATTTGCTCTCAAGACTTTTTCCAAATGTTTCTGTGTTGTCCTTATTTATTCCATGTGGCAGCAATAATGGGTTCTTATTTTCTGAAGGGATTTTCAAATTCAAACATATCTCCTTTAATACAAGTAACAGACATATTAAACAAGCATCAACAAATCGAGATATCTTTCCACGCATTTCTCGCAGTAGCTTGGTCGAACTTTGGCCCATTTATCAAGACAAAATTATGTTAAGAGTTAAATTTGTCAGGATGAATGGCCACCTTGCAACACAACCTGATTCCCGAGTTATACAACGCTACATACATGTACATACATGGTGATGAAGATTCAGTATATTAGAATATTATTTTAAAAAAGACACAGAAACTGGTGTTTTTGTTTATTTCAATTAGAATGATTTGGAATGAAACAATTGCATTTAGAATTAGAATATTAAAACAGACTAATGAAATAAAATAATGATCTAGAAAAGTAGTCTTAAAGGCTTTTTTTCAAATAGTAAATGACCTCTTTAGCACTTTGTCAAGTGCAGAGGACTCCAAAGTGCTTCACACTACATCCAGTCATTCGTGGAAACACTGACACTTCAAAGGTTTGAGAATTTATTTTATACGGTAATTTATTTGTTTAAAACAGGGACAATGTACAACATACAATAATCACAAGAGGAAAGATGCACTTTAGCAGGTTGTAGCGCTAATTGCTAATTTCCACTTGTGGTCCCAGACCCAGCTGGTGAAATTTTTTAAAAGAAAAAAAAATGCATAAAAACAGCTGGACACTATTGGGGCTTTTATTCTGACAAACCACCAGAATGCATTTAAAAATAGATAAATTGATAGATTGATAAAAGAATGTCTGGTCCAAAGAACGTACCAGCCCTCAACTAATAAATCACCTGAAGCAAGCAAGTCTCTTTTAGTAAAATAAGAACACTAAACAAAAGACGAGCTTCTGTTTTTATCCCTCTCCTTTTTTCTTCACTCACTGTAGATATTTTCATCACTTCTCCCCTGCTGAAAGCAATCAATCAGCATCTTGTCTTAGGCTTCAGTGACGCAGGTAAAGAAACTGAGGAGGTCAACACAAGGGAATATTGCAGGCTTGATTTGTAAAGAGGCTCCATCATCTTGAATGAACATAGCTCAAATCAAGGTTGCTGCAATAGATCTTGATGTCTTTCAGAGTTCTCTTACCTAGAATTACAATGTAAAGTTACATTATTTTCTGAAATAGTACTCAAAATTGGATTAATAAAGTTAAAAATTGAGACCAAGAGGTATTATTAGGCTAACATTTTGCTGTTTTGGAAATGCATTTCATTCAGATTGGCTCTGAAGATGGTTGTTAACCCCATAATGTGGTTAGAAGAAGCTTAAACAAGTTATTGCGATTTGGAGCATTTTATCAAACAACTGTCAGACTATTCTGAATGACACAAAATGCATAT